TGCAAAACTTGTATATATATGTGTGTGTGTGTGTGTGTGTGTGTGTAAAATAAAGTCCGTCAACATTAATGCATCTTAGACATTATTGTGTGAATTTTTTATGTAAAAAAAGTACATGCACTGTGGGAATTAAATTTTAAAAAACTGTCATCTTCTGAGAAAGTATTCTAATTTTTCTTGTTATTTAAAAAACCAGTACTACAATGTACACAAATTTCTTGAAAATGATGAAATATCGCTCAATTCATCCAGTCGAGCGTTCCATCTAATTCACTTTAAGAACATGAGTAAAACGGAGTACGCCTCAAGAAGCGTATCTCGTCTTTTCATGGCAGTGCTTTAAACTTTGACAATATTTTAAAAGAATACTCCATTGGCTGGTGCGGGAAAGAACTTTTCCTACTATTTTTTTTTTATCAAATGCTACGTTTCTCAAGGCAATGATCGACCGTTGATGCTTTGTTTTCCTCTACTGGTGTCTCTACATTTTATACGGATAAGCTCGTCTTTATTGCTGAAAAAGTCAAGTTGCTGCAAAAACAATGATAATTTGCTGTGAATCAAGAAACTTTTGGCCGCTAGCAGAATACAACAATGGGTAGTATTTCTTCATGAACAAATTATTATTTCTTTATTCAGCTTTAGTGTTGTATTACAATGTACGTTGTAGTATATAAAAATGTAAGATGACGAAAATGAGTGCAGATTTGACTATCGATCTCTCGAAGTAAAAGCCACCTATCAATGTCTTCAGGATATCATACATTTTTTTTACTTCGAAAATTCCATCGTTTATTGAGTAATAACAGTTCGAAAGACAAAAAATAATTCTAGCTAGCATGTATTACAGCAGTTAGGAAAATTAATCTTGACAACTAGTAACACCGAATAAGATTTTTAAAAATTGTTTAATCAGACCAAAGTTGCAGGCGTTAGTTTTCTTGCTTTTCTTTGCTCTCCCACGTAACAATTTCATGTACAGCAAAAAATGTTGTTGCCCACTTGAATGACAAAGCCTAAGATCTTTTTTGGCAAGCGAGAAGCAATAAATTACAGTTAAAAGTGCGTTACTAACTCGAGAATGAAAGGATAAAAAAAAGAAGAAGAAAAAAAAAAAAAAAAAAAAAAAAAAAAAAAAAAAAAAAAAAAAAAAAAAAAAAAANTGTCGTGACAAAATTGTATAATTCACTAATCTGCTTCACTGACGACGCTCAATTTAAAAAATACGCATGTACTTGCATACGATGGATTTTCGTTACTGTACTCTCAACAAAATATTCAACTGGGATTCGTGGTATTGAACAGTAGAATCAATTTTTAAAACTGGAAACCTTCGCATTGAAAGTAGTATCTAAATTGCCACATATATCTAAAGATGTAAAAGATATCACTAATTGTACTGTAATTGGTTTATGCTACGGATTATTAGTATAGGCGAATTCAAACAATGTTCTATTTAGTAGTGTGAGCTGATAGAGGTCGTATGTTGTTTCTGATATAAATGTATACACGTCAGGCCATTTTAATCTTGACCTACACCTCAACTTTTAATGTCATTTTGAGGTCAAGTCGTATTTTTCATACGAGAGACCTTATTTTTTATTTTGGATGCCAAAAGAGCGTAAAATTTTACGTCCAAAATAGATTTAAAAATGTATTTTATGGACCTTAAGAGGTCAATTCAAAGACAAATCATTTTGTATTATGCAGTTAAATATCTCCTCAGGGTATCCACCGATAAAAAATTTAACATTAAGATTGAGGAAATAATACTTTATTTTTCACTGTATAAATCAGTTTTATCATTTTTTCACTTTTAACTTTAGTGTTTAAAAAAAAAAATCATTTGATTTATTGAAACAAAAATGTAATTGGCTTAACACTGATGAAACAAATCTACTTTACATTTTCAATGTAAGATTCACTGTCTATTTCCCGTTTACATCTAAAATCCATATAAAAATCCTCATTAACAGTACTCGAGACAACAAATTTCTAGTACTATTTAGAAAACTGATTTTTTTTATCAGTTGTAACGTCTGAAATATCAATTTTTTTTAAACTTTTCAAAAACTTTAATTTTTTTAAAAGATTATTTAATACAATCATTCTTTGTTTTTTAAAATTATAATTTCAGTAAACTATCCTTGGTTTAGACAAAAAAAATATTGAACACAAATGACGGTAATAACGCTATAATATACATTATTATATGCATGCATATCCCGTAAAAGTATAAATATCGGACATAAACTATTACTACAGCATTCTTGATAAATTTATCTCAAATCCATATTAATGCAAGGAAATAAGAAATTAATAAAAAAAAAATTTACTTACAACTTACTTAAAAAATAAGTGGTTTTGGCAATTCCGATAAAATTCATTGCAAGCAGAAACATATAAAAATAAAACTCAAAAAGTTTGTGCAGTAGGTTTCGTTGACATACTCGTCAAGTTGTTCAGGCTTTACGTACTTGCATAATGATTCATTAAGCTATTGACATTAATTGGTGTCTCGGGTGGGAGATTATAGGAATTAATCTTGATGAAAAATCAATAAAAATAACAACACGTTGATCGACGGTCTTTAATTTCATTCAAAAATTAACTCAGTACCACAATGAAAAAAAAAAAAAAAAAAAAAAAAAAAAAAAAAATGAAATTGAAATGTTAGACTCGTGTACGCGTATACGACAAAATGATTATTTTCACTTGGCTCGATGATTGACTTGATTCCTCGTCCCGGTGAGAAACGAGTGCTGATTGCGCTCGTGGCTTTTGAGATCGCAGTTGCGGACGAAAGTCAGCAAGCACTCGTTGCAATGGTACGCGTGGACGCACCCCATGTGCCTCGTAAGACTGCTCTTTTCGGCGAAGCTTAGCGAGCACTCGAAGCAACGGTGGAGCTTCTCCCCCGTGTGGGTCCTCTCGTGCGCTTTCAGGCTCGTTTTTTGGGTAAAACTCTTCGAGCACAGGCCGCAGCCATGGGGCTTATCGCCCGTGTGGACCCGCTCGTGCACCACTAGGTTTCTTTTGTACACGAAGCTTTTCGAGCACAGGTTGCAGCTGTACGGCCTCGCACCCGCGTGAGTCTTCTCGTGCTCCCTCAAACGGGCCTTTTCCGAGTAATTTTTCAAACACAGCTGACACTTGTACGGCTTGACGCCCGTGTGGACCCAGTCGTGCACTGTAAGGCTCCTCTTGGAATTGAAGGTCTTTAAACACAGTGGGCAACTGTAGGGTCTCAAGCCAGTGTGGACCCGCTCGTGGGCTGTGAGGTGTGCCCTTTGGGTGAAGTGTTTCAAACACAGTTTGCAACGGTAGGGCCTAACTCCGGTATGGATCCGCTCGTGCACCGTGAGACAGTACTTTCGGACGAAGGTTTTGCCACACACTGGGCAATGATGGGCTGTGCCCACATTTGTATCGTCACGTTTGTGCACCACCTCGGAGTTTGTCCGGAAAGTTTGACCACGTACGTTGGAGGAGTGGCAATTGCTGCTCTGCGCCATTTCGGTAATTTACATTCCACAAAAGTGCGCACAAACCGCGATTCAATTGAGTTGGGCCTCGTTATTGACAATAATTTTCCAACGTTTATATATCTCTCTGCTACAATACTTGGTGACGAGGTGTTTTTTATCTGTTCAACACACGAATTGTTACAAATTTTTCGTACATTTATGTTTCGCGATTGTACTACATACGTTGAGAGAGAGTTAAAGTATTTTATATGCGAAAAAGCGTCATGATCGATTTGTTATTCGAATACGTATTTTGAATATTAAAGGAAACGCCGTTATTTTTTTAATTAAATTAAAAAAAAAGCTTTTTCATAAAGCAATTACTTACCTATCGCTTTCAACTTCTTTTAGACAATAGTAGTTCATCATTTTTCGTTGCTACGTCGAATGATGTAAAATTAATTGTGCTTTCAAAAATTTTTCTTGAATAATTAGCGTTGGCTCGTGTCGTGACAAAATTGTATAATTCACTAATCTGCTTCACTGACGACGCTCAATTTAAAAAATACGCATGTACTTGCATACGATGGATTTTCGTTACTGTACTCTCAACAAAATATTCAACTGGGATTCGTGGTATTGAACAGTAGAATCAATTTTTAAAACTGGAAACCTTCGCATTGAAAGTAGTATCTAAATTGCCACATATATCTAAAGATGTAAAAGATATCACTAATTGTACTGTAATTGGTTTATGCTACGGATTATTAGTATAGGCGAATTCAAACAATGTTCTATTTAGTAGTGTGAGCTGATAGAGGTCGTATGTTGTTTCTGATATAAATGTATACACGTCAGGCCATTTTAATCTTGACCTACACCTCAACTTTTAATGTCATTTTGAGGTCAAGTCGTATTTTTCATACGAGAGACCTTATTTTTTATTTTGGATGCCAAAAGAGCGTAAAATTTTACGTCCAAAATAGATTTAAAAATGTATTTTATGGACCTTAAGAGGTCAATTCAAAGACAAATCATTTTGTATTATGCAGTTAAATATCTCCTCAGGGTATCCACCGATAAAAAATTTAACATTAAGATTGAAGAAATAATACTTTATTTTTCACTGTATAAATCAGTTTTATCATTTTTTCACTTTTAACTTTAGTGTTTAAAAAAAAAAATCATTTGATTTATTGAAACAAAAATGTAATTGGCTTAACACTGATGAAACAAATCTACTTTACATTTTCAATGTAAGATTCACTGTCTATTTCCCGTTTACATCTAAAATCCATATAAAAATCCTCATTAACAGTACTCGAGACAACAAATTTCTAGTACTATTTAGAAAACTGATTTTTTTTATCAGTTGTAACGTCTGAAATATCAATTTTTTTTAAACTTTTCAAAAACTTTAATTTTTTTAAAAGATTATTTAATACAATCATTCTTTGTTTTTTAAAATTATAATTTCAGTAAACTATCCTTGGTTTAGACAAAAAAAATATTGAACACAAATGACGGTAATAACGCTATAATATACATTATTATATGCATGCATATCCCGTAAAAGTATAAATATCGGACATAAACTATTACTACAGCATTCTTGATAAATTTATCTCAAATCCATATTAATGCAAGGAAATAAGAAATTAATAAAAAAAAAATTTACTTACAACTTACTTAAAAAATAAGTGGTTTTGGCAATTCCGATAAAATTCATTGCAAGCAGAAACATATAAAAATAAAACTCAAAAAGTTTGTGCAGTAGGTTTCGTTGACATACTCGTCAAGTTGTTCAGGCTTTACGTACTTGCATAATGATTCATTAAGCTATTAAAATAGTTGCTACAACAGGTGTGAAAAACAAAGGCATTTAGGTGCTTCATACGTATGATGAAATCCATAAAAAATGTTCCGTTTTTGACATGACATTTCGAATAAAATATGCCCGGTTTCATATAGATGTGCCTCAAAAAAAAACAGGTGTGGGTCTCGGGACCCCCGACAGATAAAAAAAACTACAGAGAGTTTCTGTCCCGCATTATACACGTTTGTAATTGTGTTAAATCTAAAGAAACTAACTTTTTGTTTAGTCTACAGCCTTCATACGCTGGTTTTTTCCGTTAAAAAGTGTCCAGTATAGCGGAACTGATGAAATACTGGGTCCACCATAAATTTGGTTATTCCAAAAATTATGATCAACATCATACCGCAAGACGCTTCGTTAAAGCCAGAAATTGAAACAAAATACGGGCTAACATACGTAATATACATATTATGAGGTATTCTTCTTTCATTTTTCACTTTTCAGGATACCCAAAAGTGTTAAATTTAAATTCTAAGCTACACATCGTCGAGGTGTCGAGCTCCGGTGTAGGCGGAGCTACCTGAGAATGATGTACTCGAACACAATTAGTCATGTTCAAGTCACTGCCAAAATGATCCCACTACTGACCTTTCCTATTGAATAATAATTGCGCTCGGGCCAATAGTGAAAGACCGAAAACACATTAGTGCACAGTGGGGATATTCGAAAGTGCGATGAGACCGCCGTCCCTCAGTCCTCAGTAATTCTATCGTGAAGTGCTCTAGTGTCCAGTTGTAGTTACTGTTCTCATTGTGAACCAGATTGGGACTAGTAAAAGCGGAGTTTATTTCACAGTGAAAAATGAAGAGAACAACCTTTTCCAGCTGGTGCAGGAAAACTAGAGCGTCTTTCCGATCCCTTCGGCACGGATCAAATGATGACCAGCCGAGTAGTGAGGTAAGTTTCGAATTAAATTAAAAATACATTGAACTTTTGCCTCGAACATTTGCCTACATTTATAAAACGGGGCTGGGGTGCATCACAGAGCTAGTTTTGTACTACCTCTGATGTAGCGTTATGTCCGATTTTCGAGACACCGGTGTTTTCGGGCACAGCTGCTTCTTTGCACCATTTATTTTTCCTGCACGCCTTTTTTGTTAAGTATTTGCTGTACTTTTACGCTGATTGAAGCGTAAATCCGCCATGTACAGCATTGATTTTTCCTCGCGCATGTACAAACAATTGGTTGGATTCGGCGCGTGTGAAATTATCTCTTTAAGAAAGTAAAGATAAGATAAGCTCTCGGAAAAATGTATCATTTCGAGTCGAGGAAACCGGCGCGTTGAAGTCGAATCTTTCCCCCGGGACCGAACGACAGGCAGGGAAAAGAAACCGAGATAGTTGAATTTCCCGGCTTGTGTGCATGACGCATATTACATTCGGAATTTCGGTGATTACAGTTTCGGGATGCCGGGAAGGGCCCTTTTTCTTTTCATCAAACGAGAAATGTTGCCCCGACACAAGTGACAATTTAGAGTTCTTGATATATACAATTGTAAAAATGTAGTCTTTCTGCAGCAAATCAAAAAATAACGATTAACCAAGACCTCAAACGTTTTGCCTTTCAGGTTCGGAGACTTGCNGATGAATACTTCACTTTTTTCTCGACTTTCACGTCGTCTGCTGTTTTAACTGGCCAAATTACGGAATAGAGCGCCAGTTAATTCAAGGTAGTTGACTTACTGACTTGACGGTAAAGTAGAGCGCAACCTAAATTACTTGCTGGTGACGATTGCGGATAACACCCATTATATTGTTTCTGAACTGACTTTCACATTAAAGCTACTGTAAGCTATATGAGGTCCCTACGGTCCGTTAACTCAGCATAGATTTGACAAAAAAATGTAATATCCGTGATCTCCTGAGGTCAGCATTACGAAGATATTGCCACAAAAGTACGTTTGCATTACAGTATGTTGTCATCACTAATATAGTAAAAGTTAGACAATGACGCCATTTTTCTTTTAGCGCCATCTATGCTAAGTTTTCCGACCGTAGGAGCCTTGTATGCCCCACAAAACATTGAGGTGACAACCGACACTGTCTGTTTTGTTGATAACATCTATAGTTATCTAAAAGATATCAATTAGTTATATAGAGAACAGTTATCGGAAAATGATGTCTTATAGTTGTCTTTTAACAGACGTCTACGCGATAACTTTAGAAGGCAACTTAGTGTTATCTTTTTTACTGGTATCATTTTGAAGCGTTGTCAAAATGTTATCAAAAAAATTATTTTAAAAAAGTTGCCCACGTTATCGAAAGAAAAGACGTCTTATAGTTGTCTTATAAAAGATGTCTATGCGATAACTTTTAAAGACAACTTAGAGTTATCTTTTTCACTGGTATCATTTTGAAGCGTTGTCAAAATGTTATCAAAAAAACAATTTTGGAGTTACCATATTTAATGTGGAAAATGATAACATTACGATAACTTATGATAAGTAAAAATGATATCAATTTTTATCTTATTCAGACATCATTATGATAAAGCCGGTGCGATTGGTTATATTAGTTTACTCGACAGGA